CTTAACCAACTGAGCCACCCAGGCGCCCCATATGGGCGATGTTTTAAATGCCTGTCTGATTCCTGTCTCATTCTCTTCATCCTTCATCAAAATGGATTTCCAGGCCTTTGCAGAGAAGAGTTACAGAAGGTATCTCTTGGGAAAAAAGGGAGAGAGAGGGAGAGAGAGAAAGAGGGGGGACAGAGAGGTAGAGAGAGAGAAAGGGAGAGAGGGAGGGAGGGACAGAGAGAGAAAGAAAGAGAACACTTAATGGATGCAAGATCTTAGGAATGCTATAGCCCAGAACAGTGGAAGCAAGACTGACCTGGAACCTTCCCTCCAGTGGAGCCCAACTGCGTAAGAAACTGACTCACCTCAGTCCAGCATTTGGTGAGCACTTAGTATAGAGCCTGGCTCGTGTGTTCCTAAACCTGGCTGGCAGCAGAAGGCCATGGGCTCACCTGAGTCTTTTTCTGTGATGTTACTCTCCCACGTGGGAGAAGGCTCTCCTTTTTGGGCCACCCTCACACTGCTTCGGAGGACCTTGGGGATGCTCCCTCCTTCTCGGAGTCGTTCCACTGACGTGGGAACCATCCTGTAAAAGGAACAGGGTGCAAGTTTATGCCACAGGACTTCAGAGTCAAGAGTCTGGAACAAATGAAGCTCTGACGAAGGCTGTACAATGCATTCTCTTACAACATCCTCTTAGACATTATTTTCTTCAGGACCAATTTTAAACAAGGTATTTTCTCTTGCCTTAAACTATAGAAAAAAGTAATTTAAAGATGTCTGCATTTAACCCCTATTGTGAAATGCTAAATTTTTCTCTTCTGTGAAGTCATGGGCCTGGCACATAGTAGTAATTCAATAAATGCTCTATGGATTAATAAACATCACTCATTTGAGTCAGGTCTCTTCTTTCCCAGACTTCATTGCTTTAGTTCAAGATCTCTCATTTGATGCTCAATACTTGTAATTTATTATTTATTTACTTACAGTGTTACTTATCTACTTGTGGTCTCCCCTAACCAGATAAGTCCTTTCAGAATATGTCTTATCTTTCTGTACATGCTAGCTGTGCGCAACTGAGACTTCTGTTGTAATTTAAGTGGAACTGATCTGAACTCCTGACTTACCTTTCATACGAAATGAAAAAATAGAAGAGGCAGTTTTAGTGCCCAGCAAATAAAATAGCTCATCTGTGTGTGTCCCCAACTATATGGCGTCCAAAGTGCTGTTGTTCTGCAGGTTCGGTGGCAATCCTTTGCTTCTGTAAAGCTGAGGGCGTTGTAGGAGGGGTTGTGGCTGATACTATTAAATCAGTTGCACAGCATGGATGGCACTCTTGGCTGCCTTTCTCAGATAAGTGTTCCCATACATTTTAGGTAAAACTGGGAATGATTCTACATGTATACTTCCCTCTTGAATTTAATTATTTCAGCATCAAACATAAACTTACCACCTACTGCTGATATTCTCTTGAGGTCTGCAGTGAGATGAAGTGCCTCTGGAATCTGATGGGCTTACCGCCTCCATATGGGACACAGAGGAATGAGATGGGGAGAATTTTTTGTGAGGGGAAGATGGAGTTCGGATTGAGGATCCCTGCACACCATGGGCACCAGTGTCAGAAAGTGAGTTGCTGCTGCCTTGCCCAGCTCCTGCAGACTTGCTTTTGCTCTGTGCAGAGTCACCTCCCCCACCAGCCGAATTCTCCTTGGCTTCTTGTTTCCGTTTTCGGTACTCCAGGAGGGATACCTGGGAGGGAAACAAGAAGCAGAACTCTAGCTAGACATCGTCAGTGGATCACTAGCAATAGAGAAAGAAGACGGAACCCTCATAAATCGCTAGCCTGCCATGCAAACAAAGCAGGCACCAACACTAGCAACCCTTCCTTGAGATGTGAGAGATCTGAGCACAGCTACATACTTAAATCAGTCAGAAATTGGTAAGGAGAAGAAAATACGCTAGGAGATGACATTTTTGAAGAACAGTGTTCACCAGCAGACCTCAATCTTTTTTCTGCCTTCAGAAAACTGAGATCACAGTGACCCAGTAACAGAAGCGTGCTACCAGCTGTTTGCTACAATGGTAACACCTAGAAAAGGGAAAGGGGAGTTGGAGCTGTGTAGTTTGAAAAGGTCTTCCAGGTGATCTAACAGCTCTTTCCCAATCCCTAAGAATCCCCAGAGTCAGTTGTTTAAAAAAAAAAAAAAAAAAGAGAGACAGACAAGAAAAAAACAACAGAAAAAGCCAACGCTTCAGGGCTCTTAGATGTGTTCAATTTTTCAAGATACATGGAGGGATTTATTACTGTTTCTGTCTTACACACAGGGAAACTAGTGTAAAAAGAGAAAAGAATGATTTGCAGTTTATATTGCAGCAAGCTAGTCTAGGAAATGTACACTTGGAAACTTTTCCCCAGCTCTGCCTCATTCTCTCTTGATTGCCAAAACACAGCTCTCCTCCCTGGCCTGCCCAGCGTACCTCCTCACTGCTGTTACAGCGCACTGCCTACACTGGCTGTCAACCTGTTACAGTGTCTTGATTTTTCCTCCACTAAACTGTATGTTCTACCAGGGCGAAGACCAAATTTTTCTGGCTTTTCATCTTTAAAATCCAGCACAGCACCTGACCGACAGCAGGTACTCAACAATTCTCAAATAACAAATCATGATTTCAATCACTGTTGTACATAATAAATGAAACCAGAAATCCAAAGACATTTTAATTTTTGCTCCTGATGGTCAATGCTGTTCATACACAGTCTTCTAAACCCACTGCTATCTTATTCCAAGTTATCTGCCAGTGTTTCTGCCTTTTATTCCCTCAGAGCTCTCATTTTTCTGTTCAAATGTAAAATATAACCAAAATGTAAAGTAGTACCATCTTGTGTATGCATTTTCCATACGCAGTCTTGGACGAGAATTCATAATAATAAATTCTGGTAATGTATTTCATTGAAATGCAAGTATCAAAAGTCACTAGGCTACATTTCAACGAGACTACTACCGATATCCTGCAATTGTGTGAGACTGTCACACACATAGAACATTTAACATCTCTAGCCCTGCACAATAAATGGAAGTTGCCGTGGCAACCCAAAATACTCCCATGCATTTTCAAATGCCCCTAGTTGAAACCCACTGACATAAAAAGCACATTTTGGGCTTTGTAATTTCTTGAACAGGCATTACTTACAAGTTAAGTCCCAACCTGTGGCCAGCAATCTATGGCCTGGCCCTGTTCCAACCATCTCTTACCATACTCTCCGCTCCTGACTCTCCCCACCTTTCACCAGGTACTACAGCAGCATTCAACTGTTTGCAACCACACTGCATCCCTGTTGCCCACTCAATGGAGTGTCACACAGCTAAGAGTTCTGCTCTCTCTTCCGTAACATCCTTACCCTTGTTTGTTGGCAGACTGCTTCCTACTTACCGTATGAGATCAGCTAAATCAGTGAGTGACCTGTCATCTCTCACTCCACCACCTCTCAACTAGCTAGGAGCCTCTTGTTTGTTCTCAATGTACCCTCCACATATATGAGCAGGCCAGGTTGTGGCTAAGGTGTTCTTACTATATGTGAAGAACTCCTCTGGAGCATCCACTGCCACTGTAATTAATTACTTATTAATATAATTATCTGCTTACCTCAGTCTCACTTGCTTTAAGCTCCATTAGGGCAGAACTTAGGAAGCAATATATAGCACAATGGCAGTAAGAGCATGAAATCAGGAATCAGACCTGGGCACTTTCCTGGCTCTTCCATTTACTAGCTATGTGACCATGGGCAAGTCACTCAACTTGCCTTAGTTTCTTCATCTGCAAAATGGGAAATTACCCATCTTACAGGATTACTGTGAGGATATAATGCTAAGAAAACACTTAACACATGGGAAGTGCTAAATAATACAATTAGCATTATTCTTTTTCATTGTTCTATCCTTTGATTGCATAGCATGTGTACAGCACATACATGGCAGGCATTTAAATTTGCTGAAAATTTGTAACATTCATCAAATTGTATTAAAACAGTCTTGTCTAAAAAAACAAAACAAAACAAAACAGTGGTGCCTGGGTGGCTCAGTTGGTTAAGTGTCTGCCTTTAGCTCAGGTCATGATCCCGGAGTCCTAGGAGTGAGCCCTGCTTCTGGCTCCCTCCTCAGCGGGGAGTCTGCTTCTCCCTCTCCCTCTGTCCCTCCCCTTGTGCATGCCCCCCCCACCCTGTCTCTCAAATAAATAAAATCTTTAAAACAAAACAGTCTTGGCTTTCACAAGACATGGCAGAGATCACGTCTTATGTCTCTGTTTTCCTCACACAGAAAATGGTGCTGAACACATGGTGGTTCACTCAATAAATATCTACTGACTTGCTTAGTTAATATTCTTCAAAAGGGCCTATATAAGGTAGAACACTTACCTTTTTCCTCTGCGGTGGGTTCTGGGGGGCAGATGGGACTCCTTCACAAGCCCTTTCACCACCAGGTGACATGGATCCACGAGAGAGGTCTTTCATAAAACCATGTTCATATCTGCTGGGAAACCCTTCTGCAGGGGAACAATATCCCCCGTCCAAATGTAAAGGCTTCCTATCCCCTACTAGGGGAGACCCTCGATATAATCCATCTGCTCGAGGCATAGCGTTCAATGGGGAGTAGGCGTACATTAAGTTAAACTCTGTCCGAAATGCCTGGTCCGAGTTCCTTGCAAGGGTCTGATGTCCATCTCCACTCCTGCTTGAAAAGCCAGTCTCAGAGGGGGTTCCGATAGAGGGATGAGGAGCCAGGTCAGAAGGACCTGAGTTGATCAGGGAAGGTCTGTCAGCACAGCTGTTAGTGTTGGAGTCAAGGTAGCCTACTTTTGTCAAGTCCAGGTCTTTCCGGTGACAAAGCTGAAAGAATAAAAATCAACAGAGACATGGAGGAGGAGGTGGGGGAAGGAAAAAGTCAAAGCGCAGAAAGGAAGGGAAATGAGAGGGGCACAGGTGAAAGGTAAGAGGGATGGGGTAAGAAGGATGGAAGTACAAGAAAGCCATTAACATCTGTAAAAGTCCCATGGAGCAATAGTATATACAGGCCAGATTACTATAGAATGCCGGCCTTTCACAAATTGCTTTAAAGTTTTCTGGATGAGAAGTCTGGGAAAATCAGAATTAAACAATTGGCTAAATGTGACTATTTTGCCTGCTTAGCCTTTCATCAGGTTTGCTGAGTCACCTTGTATGACATTAAGGGACTGGAAGTATAATCAGGGATTTACCTGAGCCCCATGTATGCTACAGAGGTGAGACTGGTGTCTTAAGATAACTGGCTTCTGGTGTTATTCATTTGTATTTAATACTGATGGAAGGTGGGAGGAGGGAAAAAGGGAAAGAGAGTAGTAAGTAGAAAGTCGGTATTTAAGTTACTGGTTTAGTAAAGGAAAATGGTATTAGTTAAAGACATCAACCAACCAGTTCTCTACTCACTTTCACTATTAAGTATGTGTGCTTCTCATAAAACTTTCTGGCCACTCAGTTCTTTATCCTCTGATGTATGTCCACATACCTCAAGACCACTAATGCCCATCACTGCATTCGAAATGCTGAATTGTGTCAAAAATAAACCATATCTACTCTTTGGTTATCATTACCTCCCAACGCCAAGATTTTCCACCACTAGGTCAACTATTACTGACTCTCTAGAAAGAATGGTACCAAAAATCCAGATGTCACACCATGATTTCCTTACAAGAGTAAAAAACACCCAGAAAACCTCTAGTGCACTAGAATACAACCTTTTTCGTTTCACACTGATCTATAAAATACTGATTCAGAGTTTTATCAACTATCACTAAGTTTAGCACTAATTTTTTAACTGGAAAGGGGTAGAGTTAACAGTTCATTTAATTTCTGAAAGGTTATGAGAGACTACAGCTTTCTCTTCAAGAGGAAAAAGGCTCCATGTGGATTCACAGAGTTAATCATTACTACATTTGTCCAAATCTTATAATAATTAAAAAACTCTAGCACTAAAATCTGAATTTTACATCTCCACAGCAGTAGGGTGCCTGAGAAAAACACTCAATTGGACATCCTAAGAGATACCACTTGTCTGCCACCACATCTCCACTACTACAGAAGGAAGGCCTGTGTCATAGAAGCCATGGGCTGACTTAATTTCCTTGTATACCCAGTAAGGAGCTACAAAGAAAACGGAGAAAGCAGAGAGGCAGGACCCTCCCTTTTCTAAACAAGCTGTTCAGTCTATCAACCAAAGCCCCAAACATCCAGTTAAAACAGAGCTGTCAGATTAACCCTGAAACAAGACCTAAATCACTGCCTAACTTTTCCAGTATAAACTGATCCTTTCTCAGCCCAAGATAATAAATATCAAAAGAGCTCCTACCAACTTTTGATTTCAGTTTTCCTTATTTAACAAACACACCTTAGTTGTTACTTTCTTTACCAAGGTTCCCACATCTTCAGCTTGCTTTAAACTTGACTTCCAGATTCTATTCTTTAAAAGAACTCTTCAGCCCCCCTCCCCCAAACAACAAACCCCACCACACACACACACACACACACACACACACCCCTTCATTTTCCTCCATCTACATTGAAAGTTCTGAGTGATCCAGTCACACATGGGAAGATTCATTCAACTTACAGCGACTGACTGGTTGCTCTTCAGCCTACTGCCCATTCATTCGGACCCCCCAGCCCTCCCACACACTCATGCACACTCACTCTCAGCCTCCAAGTGTGATTGAGATGGTGTGATAACTACCTCGGGTGACAGGGACTCGGGCCTATTCGCAGGGGAACTCTCAGGGGAGGATATGTTCTAGAGGAGGGAAAAGCATCTTGTTATTCATCTATCCGAAGTCAAGAAGCAAAACAAAACAAACAAAAAAATAAAATAAAAAGCAAGCATAGATGGTTAGCCACAACTTTTTGTGGTGGGGGCAGGGGGAGGGAAAAGAATGCACAGGGAAAATGTTTAACTGCAGAATTCATCTCAATGGACAGAATGACTGGTTAAAAATGCTTCCTGGTGTCCTTGAAAGCATTTAGGGATAAACCGTTTATAATGTTTCATGCTGTACGTAAACATCTTAAGCAGTTAACAAAAAATTTAGATTGGTGAAATTGTACACTATAATTTCATTTGAAATTCTGTTCTACATCTGATGACAGTTGAGCAGCCTATAGTATTTATTAATGATGGGTATCCTACCACTTATTCCTCCATAGGGGAATCTTTTTTTGTCCCACACTTCCTTCTGAAAGTCCTATTTCTCCATTCTCCTGAGTGGTTCAGGCTTGCCACCACTGTCCAGGCAAAGTGCTGAGCATGCTGGGGATGATGGGGCTAGGGAGATGGCCAGCTCCTCCTGAATAACAGTTACAGGAGACAGAATGAAATCTAGCTTATAGGCTAGATCGTTTATGGCATAATCTAACTGGATCTGAACATCCCTACGTACCAATGTTCTCTCAAATTAAAATCCCTTGTACTTCTGGGAATGGGGCGGGGCGGTGTGGGGTGGGGAGCAGAGGGGAACATTTTTTTTTTTTAAAAGATTTTATTTATTTATTTGAGAGAGAGAGAATGAGAGACAGAGAGCATGAGAGGGAGGAGGGTCAGAGGGAGAAGCAGACTCCCTGCCAAGCAGGGAGCCCGATGCGGGACTCGATCCCGGGACTCCAGGATCATGACCTGAGCCGAAGGCAGTCACTTAACCAACTGAGCCACCCAGGCGCCCGCAGAGGGGAACATTTCAAGTCCCTGCATCTTAAACAGGCTTCCCCTTAGAGCTTTCACCTGAGGCAGCACTCCCATAGCACTCAAACAGGATCTGGACTGTGAACTCTGATGGAAGATCTGAATGGTAAAAAGTGGATAGAAAGATGGCGGTGGTTGTGACAAGGATTCAGAGTACTAGGGGTAAGGGAAGGGAAGGGTTCCTAATGTTGGAGACTCTGGACAACTGTGAAATGAGGCTGTTAATTTTATTTGGTGGGCTAGGTAGTGTGTAGACACTGGGCCAGGAAGAGAAGGGAAGGGTTATTCTGGTGTAAAGGAGGGGTTAATTAAGCTTGCCCTCCCAAAGTTGCTTTTTACTCCTTTTCCTTGATGCTTCCCCCTCCCTCATGATCTTGTCATGTCTCCTCAACTCCTTCCCTTAGCACTGGAGACATTTTTCACTGGGATGATTTTCATTTTTCCTTTAAAAAAAGATTCTTCCCCAACCAAACTGATCTTTACCTGTGACACCTTTTTGGTATTTCTCTGTGTCATAGTCTTGGATGGAAATAAGGCTTCCTATACTAGAATATAGGAAAGAGCATGTCAGTTAAAATGGTGATAAAGATGGTCAGGATGGTGAAGTTTGTTTTATTGACAAGAAAGGTTAAATTTCCTTAGTTAAATCACGAGTCTGGAACAGTGAAAATAGAGGCATTAGACTTTTTGAAGGGATGAGCTATTTAATATAATATTTTCTTTTATTCCCAGTATTCTAACATTATGCTTACACTATGCGCATCATTAAACTGATCTTTGATTTGTAAAATAAATAAATAAAATACCTTACCCTTGCACAATATTTCAGTTATCCAAAATACTACCTGGGATTAGGAAATGCACTGAATGCTCAATTTAACTGTCCTGGAAGGTGATGTACCTTCTAATTTCTGTAATTTCACCTTTTTAATTATAGTAAAACCTGCAATGATAAAGTATGAAATCCTATGCTTACAATTTGCTGCCCTCCAGGGTGAATATTCTCCTATGAAATTTTACTATTGAACTCTACTTGCTAACTGAAAAATCAAGGCAATTAGACCAAGTAAAGTTAGTAAGGCCTGAATCAGCTGCTTTACTGTATGGCTGACAAGAATGCCAAAGTGAATTTGGTAACTTCTCTATAAGTCAAATGTAACCAGAAAGGTTCCCCCTGCTTCCCCACCATCCCCTTGCCAAAGAGGTTTGCTCCCAAAGTAATTAGTACAGTCTATTCAGGTATAGAACATAGCTGTTTCCTGCGTTCAAGGTTGCTAGCTACCTCCTTCTGAGTTAGCCACTCAAAAGTTCTGGTATTTTTAATCCCTATGCTTTCGTAAGGGCTGAATAGGCAGGAAGGCATTGGCTAAAGCATTCACCTTTATCAAAGAACACATCTGGAGAAGTTACAAGATAAGGGCAGAGCTAAGTGTTTAGTGATCAGAATAAGTTTCTTTTAAGAAGGAAGAGACTGTTTAATGAATTGCAAATCAAAGTAACATGCAATAGATTGATTTTTTTTTATACACAAGGATTCTATTCAGTAAACCTGCTATTATCCACATGTGAACACGAGAATGTGATTCAGAATTAACTGTTCTAACAGCTAAGATAATACATTCTAACTTAATCCAGACAGTGAATGTAATAAATATGTCTCTTACAATACATGTTGTTAGCCTCTAACGTTTCATTCCTAACACATTTTAACAAGAAGGGAAAGTTACCTGGAGTAGGAAAAAAACCCCTCATTTGCCACAAACCATACCCCAAAGCTTTCTAAATCTCTGTTCACTGAGGCCACAAGAATACAAAACAACAGAGAAAGATAACTCATTTAAAGGCCTAGAAAGAAAATCAATCAGTATAATCTGAGCTCTCAGGCTGGTATCATTAGTGGTTACTAGGCAGCTAGAGACCTATTTTAACCAAGGTATGCAGTAAAGACAAAGATGGAGATGTAGCATGCTTTCTATAGTTATGGAGACTGATGGATTGCATGCAAAAACAGATGAGTGTCATCCATGGTAGAACTATTCCTTTTTGGGGAAGTATGGGGACTTTGGGGGAAGATGAGAGGCTACCAGGTAACAGGTCACACCGACGCTGAGGTTTCCCATTCTCTTGCTGAGACTGGCAGGAACATGGTCAATAAATATTTGGAATGATATTATACTTGAAATGAGGAGGGGCAAATGATAATTTTCATATTCAGCACTCCCAACAAGCAAGCCCAAATCACCTCAAACTGCAGAGGAGTATTGCAGCGACTAGCAGTAGTAAGAGACGTGACTGGTGAGAACATGAGGCTGTATCCATTTCGACACTCCTCTTCTGGGTGAGATGGGCCAGGTGTGGTCAGGGAGGGGCTCTTTGAGCCTGGATTGGGAGGGGGTGGTGTGACTGGAGAAAGAGGCCGCAGTAACTTGGTGACATTCTGTTCCATCAGATAGCGAGACTTCCATTTCTTTAATGGGCTCAACAAGTCTGTGAAATACAAAGCTTGGATGAGAGATTGAAATCACAGTTTAAAGGGAGGCTCTGTGGTAAAGCCATTAATCTCTAGCCCACAATGGCTCTTAATTCCTCTTCTGCCTCATCCCATTGTTATCTCCCACAATCAAACCAAAAGGCCAAAGAATTCTTTGTCGCACTTAAGTAATTCTCAAAATTCTCTATTGCCCAGAGAAATCACCAGATGAATCTGACACTGCTAATGACTGATCTCTGGAACGAATTTAATCTCGTCCAGGGGAAAATATAAACTTCTTTTATTTTTCACATTGAATTTCTAAAAATCTCAGTTCTGTGTCACTTTGTTAAAATCACCCTCTACTAAGTAATTTCCATATCACCAGCTCAAGTTTCTAGAATGTTAACTCCATACTCCTTTTATCTTTTTATATATTTCTACCATTTTTTGGCAGCTCTTTCTATAATGTTCTGCTTTAGTAGGAAAGAGTTACACATGATTACCTGACCTATATATCTGGCCCCTAGTTTTAGAGTGCTTCAAAGTAGGAAATGATTTTTACAAAAATTTCTCCCAACCATTTTCAAAAATGAGGCTGGTACTCTTTTTCTGATTGGAATATCCTACACTTCTTGGGTCCACTTATAAAGGAAATTACTACCCTATATATTTTAATGACCACTCGGGTCAAAGCACCTATCTCACTTTCTCAGAGGAAAAATCTACTTTTATTCATTTACAGTTAAAAGAGATTGATTTACTTAATACCTACTATATGGAAACCACTGAATTAGGTATGTAAGGGGAGAAGGTCACCATATATTCTATTTAAGGGGATTTACAAATTTGTGAGGATGAGAAAACGTATGTAAAACATGTTTAATATAAGTTTAAGAATCTCAACAGAGGTGATCATACTGCTATGTGTTCGTAAAAAATAATTATGCTTTGCAACTCTTAACCTCAGAGTCCTGAGTTCAAGCCCCACACTGGCTGTAGAGATTACTTAAAAATAAAATCTTAAAAAAAGTAATTATGCTTTTAAGTGCTTATTATATACCAGGCACTATTCTATGTTCTTTATGTGAATTACGAGATTTAATATGAACAACTCTATAAATCCATTTTAAAGATGAGGAATTTGATGCGCAGAGATAAAGACTAGGTAATTTAGTTTCACTTACATTCTATTTTTTTTTTAAGATTTTATTTATTTGAGAGACAGACAAAGACAGCGACAGAGATAGTGACAGAGAGCACAAGCAGGAAGGAGAGGGAGAAGCAGGCTCCCCGCTGAGCAGGGAGCCCAACTCGGCCCTGGATCTCAGGACTCCAGGATCATGACCTGAGTGGAAGGCAGACGCTTAACCGACTGAGCCACCCAGGTGCCCCTCATTTACATTCTCAATCATTATTAAAATATATCAGATTGGGTAAGAAAGCAAGACCCATCAAGGGGCGCCTGGGTGGCTCAGTTGGTTGGGCGTCTGCTCAGGTCCTGATCCCAGGGTCCTGTGATCGAGTCCTGCATTGGGCTCCTTGCTCAGCGGGGAGCTTGCTTCTCCCTCTGCCTGCAGGTCCCATTGCTTGTGCTCTCTTTCTCTGACAAATAAATAAAATCTTAAAAAAAATATATACTGGCCTATTTTCCCTTTATCTCCATATTTAACTCAAAACATACTTCAGTAGAAGGTAGTAATTATCTACCTTTTCCCATGTCAAACAGTACATCTTCCAAAATCTTTTAGAATTATAGAATTATAATTTCTCCACTGATCTGAAATATGACATTTATCCTATTAGAGTCTTACACAAACTGGGTTTAGTTTTGTACACCTGCTGTCTAAATGGCATTAATATTGACATCCGTTTTAGTAAAACTTTTGGGTAATTCCACTTATTCTACTCTAGCTGTCCAAAATATTTTGGCTATTCTAGCATACTTGTTCCTGTCAGTGAACTGTTGAAATCATTCACTATGCTGACAGTACTCTCCCCGACCAAACCAAGTTAGAATTTTGATTGGTATCGTATTAAATTCATGAGTAACTGAGGAAGAATTCTCACTCAGCACCACGGCACAATCTTTCAGCTACTCATGCCTTCATTTATCCCTCTTCATATAGATCTGTCACATTTCTTTCTTTTGTTCTTTTTTTTTTTTAAAGATTTTATTTATTTACTTGACAGAGAAAGAGAGCACAAGCAGGGGGAGTGGGAGAGGGAGAAGCAGACTCCCCACTGAGCAAGGAGCCCGACGCGGAACTCGATCCCAGGACCGTGGGATCATGACCCGAGCTGAAGGCAGACGCCTAATCAACTGAGCCACCCAGGCGCCCTCTTTCTTTTCTTTTTTCTTTCGCTCTCTCTCTCATTTATTTATGAGAGAGTGAGAGAACGAGTGAGCAAGAGCAGGGGAGGGGCAGAGGGACAAGCAGACTCCCTGCTGAGCAGGGAGCCAGACTTGGGGCTCCATCCCAAGACCTTGAGATCATGTCCTGTGCCGAAGGCAGATGCTTAACCAACTAAGCCAATTCAGGCACCCCGATTCATCACATTTCTAATTTGGGGTACTCCCCCATGTTCTCTAGATTTTGTTACCACTGTGTATTACACGTATTTCTCCTCCCTCTGTGTTATCATCTGCATGTTTTTTTTTTTTTAAAGATTTTATTTATTTATTTGAGACAGAGAGAATGAGAGAGAGAGAGCACATGAGAGGGGGGAGGGTCAGAGGGAGAAGCAGGCTCCCTGCCGAGCAGAGAGCCCGATGCGGGACTCGATCCAGGGACTCCAGGATCATGACCTGAGCCGAAGGCAGTTGCTTAACCAACTGAGCCACCCAGGCGCCCGCATGTTTGTTTTTTGTTTAAGATTTACTTATTTATTTGAGAGCGAGAGAATCCTCAAGCAGACTCCCCGCTGAGTGCAGAGCCCAAATGAGGGCTTGATCCCAACTGAGGGCTTGATTCCAGGACCCTGAGATCATGACCTGAGCTGAAATCAAGAGCTGGCTGCTTAACCAAGTGAGCTATCCAGGTGCCCCTCTACATGTTATTTTTTAACATGTAAGAAAATAATTCTAGACACTGTTAAATAATTTAAGAGTGGGATAATCTGATAACCCATTTTAAAAATTATTTTTTTATTGAAGTATAATTTAGTATATAGTATTAATTTTGGTGTACTTGATAAATGCATTTTAAGGTTTAATGTAAATAGTTTTCACCATTAAGCATAACTGGCAACTATTTTGCAGAAAGATGTAAAAAAAAAAAAATCATAGGTGGGGTGCCTGGGAGGCTCAGTCAGTTAAGCGTCCAACTTTTGGTTTCTGCTCAGGTCATCAGATCGAGCCCTATCCACACTCAGCACACAGAGTCTGCTTGAGGTTCTCTCTTTCCCTCTCCCTCTGCTCCTCCTCCTGCTCACTCTCTCTAAATAAAATCTTAAAAAAAAAGTCATAGGTATTTTACTAGATTTTTTAAAAAAGATTTTATTTATTTATTCATGAGAGACAGAGAGAGAGAGAGAGGCAGAGGCAAAGGGAGAAGCAGACTCGCCGATGAGCAGGGAGCCCAATGAGGGACTCGATCCCAGGACCCCGGGATCACAACCTGAGCTGAAGGCAGACACTTAACGACTGAGCCACTCAGGCACCCTTACTTTACTCGATTTATCATTAAATTCATATTTACTGTACTATTACTCCCCCTCCTCCATTTGGCCTGCTAATAAATTAATTATATGAATAATTTTTCAAATACTAAACCATCCTTATATTTGTAGTAGAAATTTCATTTGCTCATAATATACTTTTGATATTCTTACAGACTCAAGATTCAGATCACTGAAATCTAATTCAAAAGTAGTAAGATGCTGATTTTTGGGGGGGTTAGTTTGATAAAATGAATAAAGGGTGAAAAATTTAGTAATACTGTGTAGTATATGCTATGTGCATATATTGTATGTATAGTATATATATGCATATATTATGCTATATGCACCCAAAAGTATGTGCACATAACAAATCAACAAATTTTACCACTCCTTTACTGCTTGAAATCCTGCTTTTTATTCTCTATATTTTTGCAGTTATTTATTTATTTTTTTTTAAAGATTTTATTTATTTATTTGAGAGAGAGAGACCACATGAGAGGGGGGAGGGTTGGGAGGGTCAGAGGGAGAAGCAGACTCCCCGCAGAGCAGGGAGCCCAATGCGGGACTCGATCCAGGGACTCCAGGATCATGACCTGAGCCGAAGGCAGTCGCTTAACCAACTGAGCCACCCAGGCGCCCTATTTTTGCAGTTATTAATAATTCTATAACTTGTACTTTGTACAAAACTTTTTAGTCTACATTTATTTCTGTACAACAACTACTAGGTTAAGTAGTATTTTTTTAAGTTTATTTAAGTCATCTCTAATCCCAAAGTGGGGGCTGGAACCCATGACTCTGAGATTGAGAGTCACATGCTCTACTGACTGAGGCAGCCAAGCAACCCAGAGTATTAGCCTTTTTAATGCATTATGTTAAACCTTACCAAATTGCTAGTAGTAGGGATATTACTCTGTCATTTTTATTGCAAATCCTTTCTCTCAACAGACTTCTCTATTAACTCAGAGACAATACAGACACAAACTTTATTCAAGTTTGACTTAAAAAAAAATATTTGAATGTGTCTAGAACTTGCTTTGGCAAAGATCTAATTCTTTTCAATCCCCCAAGTAAGTAAAACTTCCAGAATAATTTAGCAAATATTTCATTTACTTAAGACCTGTTTCTGGCTATTCTATCCCATACATACACATACGCTCAGGCACCAGTACGGTCCTAATTTAATTACTAGCTTCCAGCTTCATATTAGAAACAAGTTTTGGGTTTTGAGAGAGAGAAAGTGAGCGAGCAGGAATCTTAAGCAGGCTCCAAGCCCAGCACAGAGCCCTAGGTGGGGCTTGATCTCACTACCCTGAGACCATGACGTGAGCCAAAATGAAGAGACAGGTGCTTAACCAAATGAGCCACCCAGATGCCCCTAGAAACTAGTTTTGTACCTCTAGGGAAGGCACTTCTTTGACTTTTTTCTTCTTTTTTTTCTTATTTTCATGTTTATTTTAGATAAACTTCATTTAATCAAATTCCAAAATGAGCTAGTTTGATGGGAACTATATGAAGCTGGGGGTGGGGGTGGGGGAGATATTACAGTTATAATTTCCATTAAGGAATATAGACTTTATCTTCATTTCCTCAAGGCTTTAAACATATTTCTCAGCCATGGTTTACTCCACATGTTCCACTATGGTTATTCCTAGGCAGTTTCTTAGTTTTGTTAAGTTTGGGAATGAAAAAATTTTCTTCATTTTCTTAGTACATATATGCTATTATTATTATTATTATTTTTTACAGATTTTATTCATTTATTTGACAGAGAGAGACATAGCGAGAGAGGGAACACAAGCAGGGGGTGTGGGAGAGGGAGAAGCAGGCTTCCCACTGAGCAGAGAGCCCGATGTGGGGCTCGACCCAGGACCCTGGGACCATGACCTGAGCCAAAGGCAGATGCTTAACGACTGAGCCACCCAGGCGCCCTTAAAATGCTATTAATTTTTGCGTATGTACCTTCTATCCAGTGGTTTTATTGAACTCATTAAATCTAAGTTTTTCAGCTGATTAGAGTTTCCTAGGTACATATCCACACCATTTACAATGAACATTATGCCCTCTCCTTCCTGAAGAGCAATTTTATTTTTTATTTCTACACAACTTTAGATTTTAGCAACTTAAGAGTCTTTAATGTACCCTAGTATCTGATCTAAGTTCTGTAAACATTTCATAAATGATCGACAATAAAGAGTATTTTGTGTAGAATATGTTAGTAATAATTCCTTTTATGGGTTCGATACCATACTAAGCACTTCACATACATTATTTAACTTAATCTCATACAAGCTCTATAAAGCAGGTATCACTATTCCCATTTTACAGAGGAGGCTCATAGATGCTTAGTAACTTGCCCAACATCATGTACTTAGTAAAGGGTAGAGCTAGTCTTCAAATTCAGGTCCACTGGATTCTTTCTACTATACCAATACACTTTCCTTTCTTTTTTTTCCCCCATGGGGGGGGCACACGGGCGCAGGGGAAGAGCGGGGGGGGGAGGGGGAGAGAGAATCTTAAGCAGGCTCCACACGTCCAGCACAGAGTCTGACATGGGGCTTGGTCCCACAACCCTGAGATAATGACCTGAGCCAAAATCAAGAGTTGGGTGCTTAACCAAACTGAGCCACCTAGGCACCCCCACTTCCCCCTTTTTTTTTTTTAAAGATTTTATTTATTTATTTGACAGAGAGAGACACAGTGAGAGACGGAACACAAGCAGGGGGAGTGGGAGAGGGAGAAGCAGGCTTCCCACGGAGCAGAGAGCCCGATGCGGGGCTCGATCCCAGGACCCTGGGATCATGACCTGAGCCCAAGGCGGACGCTTAACGACTGAGCCACCCGGGAGCCCCTCCTATTTCCCTTTCTTGATTAACATCTCCTTGGTCTTTTTGAAAAAAATATAACTAGCAAATAAAAGTAATCCCTCAGGATTTACACTAACTTGCAACAATATACCAAGTCGTTCATTTGACTACTGCTTGGTTTAGTTAAATATTTTCCTTCTGGTTATGTTGATCCTTAAGGGCAAGGTGTGTCCTTTGAATGTTTCTCACTGTTAGAGATGAGAGCAAAAATTCAATAATTGGTGACTAATGGTCCCAATTCCATTCCAACTGGGGCATGTAGTAACAAAGACACTTTGCCTATAAGTCTCTGCTGGTTAGGACATGAACTGCTATACAACCTCCCTTTCCCAACCTCAAATACAGAAATACAAATGCAAATGTGCATATGCAGGTATACTAGACAGAAGATTTCATTTAAGTTATACTCTCACTATACTGTAAAAGTTTCCAATAAACTGATAATATTGATGGAAATCTGGTATCAGCATTTCTTTATATTTATCTAGTTTGATTAAATCTTCCTAATCTTTGATGTAGAAGAAGAGTAAAATACTTTAAGAATAAGAGTAAAACAAGAAGATAAATAGTATCATTTATCTTCCAGATGTTCTACACTCAGATTTTATTATCCTGGGGTTACACATGTGAAAATTTCTAAGGTATAATACAAATTAGAGATAGAAGAATTAACTAAATTTGAAAAAAAAAAATTTTTTTTTAGTAGCTTACTTTTTCCCACATATATTACATCATGTTAGCTGTAATCTTACATGACCTTTAGCATCTAATTTATTTTATTTTTTTGGTTACGTAATATTCACAGAATTGATTTAGAGATAAACTTATGGAAGTCACAGAGAACTTTTCAATTAAGCTGAAACTGGCAGGAGAAACTTTGGTAAAAAGACTGGTTCCCACTAAGTTAGCATCACAAGTTCATGCACCAGTGCTCTCAACTGCAATTCAATTAAAATTACCCTGTAAGAATTACTGTGAAAACCAATGGACCAGATGATTTTTTAGGACCTTCTAATTTAAAAACTCACAAGAACTTTATATTAGATTCAAAGCCATGTCTCCTAAAAAATTTTACACTAATTGTGCAAGCCCTTTTGAAAACAATAACATCTTAAGGATTTCTCATTTACTTCATTCACCCCCTGCCCCTTCAACCAAGCCCCACCCAGCTCAATCATGTGTAATCTTTATTGTTTCCTCAACAATGCCCCACATCTTTCTTGCTTATTTCTCCTCTTATAAACATGGATATAGATTTCCTAAACTTACTACTTTAAATGTATCTAACCTTTTTATAACCATTTCTGCTGTTATCTGTACACTGTCTAGTTCCTTCTTTGTCGGCGTGGGAAAACTGTTCCCTGACTTGAGATCTCTCTTCCTCTGTAAAGACAGATGTAAAGTAACTATTTAGATAACAATGTTCTTTTTTTTTTTTTTGTATCAGACTGTTCAAATACTCAAACATTGAATTTTTTTATGTGGACCTGAAATAATCATTGCTTATGTATTCAGGAAGGTTTGAGATACGTACCTGCATTGTCTTTGCAGATACTAGAAGAGTTACTATTCTCATTACTTTGGTATAGGTGCTGAGTTCTAGTCTCTTGGGGTACAGATGATGTTTGAGTCATCCCTTCTTCCAAGGCTTGCTTTATCCAGCGCTACAATGGGAAAAGAACCAGGGAACTGTCAATAATCATTTAAAACTAATTGGTAAAGCTATTTTAAATACATTAACTGGATCATTACATATCAACTGGTGAGAGATGCACTCCAACACACTCACTGAGTTCCACAGTCAAGTATTTTTTGCCTTGCGTTTCAGCATATTAGAATATTGCCCCATCAATTCCTTCTCTGGGGCAAAACTGAGAAAATCTGCATTATACAATAACGAGATCCCATCAAAAAACCAAAACCAGTAAAAAATGATTACTGTTCAACTTTTCATATTGCTCAGAATGGGGTAAATGGGAAGAGATTAAGAAATCTTAGCTTTCATTTGATAGAGAGACTTTGATCATATAGGATAAAACTAGTACATAAAATAAGTGCCTAAAAGGAAGATAAAAGATCTCTTAAGAGTTGTCTGCCCTGTGCTGGGGACATATGAAGAGATAATAGAAAAGATTCACAGGAAGACTTTGGATGAGAATAAACAGCTAGCTCTTCAGTACAGGTGCAAAATACTTCCAAAAGGTCTACTCTCAGATGGAATAACCTGTGAGTTTTTTCTCCCTACTAAGTACTTTGGTTGTATTAGGCAAGAATAATGCAAATCACCAGAATACATGAACTTCTGCAGAAATCAAAAAGGGGAAAAAGTACAAAAGAGCTCTCTAATCAGTCACATTTTTTGTAATGAATACTAGAATCTAAAATGATGAGATATAAATTTAGGTCAGAAAGTGACCCTGCAAAGATTAGGATAATAATTCATCCTGGGGAAGAGAGAAAATTTCTTACCTGTAATTGTGTTCTCTTAAGATACACAGTTGTAGGTTGCTCACCACTCTGTGGCTCTCCTGCCCTGACATAAGACAGATCGAATTTTGATAAACATCAATTTCTGAATCAGACCCTCCCCCAAATAGGAAGAGCAAATGGTGATTATAATTTTATACCTTTAGAGAACAAGTATTACAGGTAAGTAAATATTCTCTTCATCAAAGAGAGCAGATAGATTTACCCTCTTAGAAACATAGGAAATAATCATTTCTTAGGAAATAATGTGAGGAAAATTTCACCAAGAAAAAATTTAGATCATGTAAATAAATGGCTTTGTGGTCTACCAAATGAAAGCAAAAATAAAACCGTAAACACGAGGCAATAAGAGTGAATAAGCATATAAAAAAGAGATATCAACAGTCAGTTGAATCGTATCAACATTTTATGATATGACCAGGTCTCTGAAAAGCCAAAACAAGACCAAGAATGAACTCGCTTATACACAGAATACTGATGTCAAGATGAACTGTCAGAACCACAGCACCTTACAACTTAGAAGAGACCTTGGAAGTCACCTTGTCCAAAGCACTCATTGTACAGATGGGGAAAATTAGGCCCAAGAGGACAAAATGAGTGAAAAATCCTTTGTTACAGATACCTTTAATACAAGCTTTTCTTTTCAGAGCAGATGACAGGACTCACTTGGGGTCACTGTGCTTTCCTCCAAGAGAAGATAATTTCTTAAATTTCCAGTGTCAAGTAGATGCACCCATAAAAGAATTGACATTCTGGATCTGATGACTACAAAAAGGGAAAATAAAACCAGGACAGGGGCATTCTAAGGAATAAGATGCTGCTATGGTTAGCTATAAGGTCAAACACAGCAAATATGATCAAACCCATTCCTCCTGGCCCTTCTGTATGTCTATGTAATATTTTAGAGCTGATAAAAAAAGAACTTGACCATTTGTCTGTTAACTAACAAGTTCCAAATAACAAATTAATTTTAGATACCTTCACACCTCAGTTCTGGCTACAGTTATTAGATCGAAAGGATACTTCCTCCTTCTCCAAAACTCTGTATAAGAGTTTTTTAGAAGCTCAGAGATAGGTGAGAGAAATGTTTTGACGAGTCTCATTACTATGGGGAAGAAACAAGGAAGTAATTTGAGTTTTGGAGTCTAAAGATCTGGACTGAAACTTGGCTGTGCCTCTCACTAGCTGCCTAACTCTGGGCAATCCATCTGAGCCAAAGTTTCTGAATCTATAAATCAAGGCCAACAACCCAACTTCATAGGGTTGTCATGAAGGCTAAGTGAGAATGCATATGAAGAAAGCGTGTAGCTTATCACTAGGCGCACATACTCAGTGAGGACCTGTTCAACTGAGTATGGAGATACACAGATTATATAACCCCCTCCTGTATACACAATAAAATACCAATGCAAAGCGAAATGTTTCATTTTCAGTTAGGATGGTTTTCTAAGAAATTTGGAAGACCAAACCCCCCCCACCCCACACGTTATTATACCTACAAAGTTAAAGTTTAGAGAGGATTTAGAGAGAACAAGGAAGGACACTACTGAAAGGCTTACTGGCCACTCATAAAATCAATGTTTCCATTCTAAAATAAGTGAAGACCCACTACAAGATATACCAATAATGTGCTTTTTAAGAACTATGATTCACTATAATTTAGAAACTCCAGGGACATCAAAAATGTTCTGTCAAACACTCTTAAGAATCTGGATGCAAATATACAACATGCAATTTTACATGGTTTTTAATTTATGAGGCTTTTACATCCTTTAATCAGGTAAGAAACAGTATGCCTATAAGCAATACACACTGTTCTAACTAATCCCATGGAGGGTGGTTTTTCTCATCTAACATATTCTTCTCTGAGAAATTTTTAGAAAATTATTACAATTTTGTTGAATAATGCAGATCTTCTTAGGTCCTACACTAGGACCTAAGTGTTCTTTCTAACCAATCTAAAAATAACTCTTTTCAATCCCTATCTAGGATAAAGCAGAGTTCAATTTCTAGATAAAAGACCCACAATTCCATTAATTCTGTGCTATAACAAGTGAAATTTTTATTTTGTAATATAATCTGGATGTTAACAGCAAAGATTAAAGCTGTGACTTAAACTAATTCAGATCTAAACTTAATTTTAAAAGACCCAATTTAAGTAAGATAATTCTGCTAGATAACTCAGCATACATATCCTGAACTCTTCCCGAAGACTAATATGACATATAGAGATAAAAGTGCCTGAGCACAGCCTGCAGAGAACAAGACTAAGTAAGGATGGTCAGACACATTTGGAGACTAAAACATGGATATGAGTTAAATGGGATTTTTATCTGTTGCCAGTGGAGATACAAATATGAGCTATAGATACAAGTCCTAAACCATATGAGGTAAAAAGAGTTCTAAGAAATGGATTTCCTATCAGATTTGAAATCAAATTCCTACATGTTTTTGGTTTTTACAGGACTCTGCTAGTTGGAAAATCAAGACAGGAATAGAAAGATTATAACCCAGCATCAGAATGATTAAGGTGGCATTTCAAAGGCTAGTCCATAATGCTTACAATTCAGACTTCATTATTAATCTGTACTAAATAATTGTCTACCCTTCTCAAAGGACCAAAATAGGAGATCCTACAGTCTGGCTTGATAAGATGCTTCAATAGTTAACATCCTTAGAAGTCTAGTATTCAAGTCATCACCTGACTTGCTCCTCCAAACTAAAGACCATTATCTGCACCTTCTCTAATTGTTCAATAGCACTCAAAAAATATAGTTAAGATTTTGAGCTATTATTCTTCATGAGGGACTGAGCTAAATGTAATAGGAAGATTAGTTTTGCATGCCATACCAGAGTTAACACAACTCTCCAATTGTTACAGAATAAGGTTAATCATAATGCTCATCAAATGCAAACAATTTTTTTTCCTTCTTAGATGATCTCTGAAATCCAAAGTAAGTGACTTGGTGTAAAAATTTATCCCCAGAGACCCAACCCTCCTTTATCACTTAGGCAAATCTCTATCTTATTTTTTTCTTAAGAAAGATCTCATTTTTATTCTTGACACCTGAAATTATTCATGTGATTGTGTTATCTACAAAGCCTCTCTTTTGGCAAAGATCTCATGATCAAATTTCTCCTTAGGGGTTATTCTACTTGGGAATTTCCCCCAAATAAAACATTAAATGACTCAAATACTTAAGTAAGATGTGCAATTAGGAAGACTTTCTTCAGTGTATGCTACCCATTCAGTGGTAGTGCCCTTCCTTTGTGCACAGAACCCTGTTGCCCTCCTCCCCTCCATATCCCACACCACTTTATCTCATCTTTCATACCCCCCACCCCCAAGAAATAATTTCTGCTCTTTGGGGAAAGAGAAAAGCTTTAAGTTTGGAGGAGTCAGGGAAGACCTGCCTGGAGTTGGAGACTTCATCACATCAAATAATCTACATGCAGCATCCTCATGTACGTGATGCCAGTGGAGGAGGGCAATGGCAGACACTGAGGAAGGCAGCCTGAATCCAGATCTGAGGATAAGAGAAAAGGGTGTTCCAGGGAACAGACTCTACCTCAAAGGAAGACCAAATGAAAGGGTGTCCTAAACTTCTAGCAACACACAAATGACATTATAGGTCTGAGGGAAGTGATCTATTCCCAAGAGACACCTTTGGAAAATATGCAGGGCTTCTGGGAATTCAGAAAGAGCATTCCAAAAACAACCATCAAACACTACTGCCACTAAATCCAAAAACAATATATAACTAGAGAGACAGTGGGGAGAGGGGGATAGAGAGAGAAAACAAGAGAGAGAGAGAGAGAGAGAGAGAGAGAGAATTTTACAGTAGGTTCCGTATTTACTAGGGAATAAACAGTCCAACTTGTTATTTGATCAAGGAACAGAAAATATGCCAATTATAAACAGGACCTTTCCTCTACTCTCACTCAAATGATAATGTAATTAAATTAATTCAAATCACAAATCAATCATTTTTTACTTATGCAATATTGCTCTAGAGTACCTGGGGCCCAATCTCACACAGTAGTCACAAATGGACATTTTAACCAATACCACAAGAGCACACACAAAACATCCCTCCCTACCCAGTCATCAACTGCTGTGTGCTCTCAACTCAGTACTTCAAGGGCTCTCAGAAAAGACAACAGTGAATCCTCACAAATTGAGCACCAAAAATGCAGTATATATCCCACTTTAGTCCTACTGACTATTGATGCATCACTATTCATGGCTGAAGAACTAACTCATTACAAACTCACATGGGCAAAGAGTGGCTGTCTAGAAAATATGTTAGATATGTCACAATTATAGGCATCCTAGGTTAAAAAAAAAAAACCCACATAAACACAGACATACCTTTTTACAGGAGCTGAAGGTGCCATCAGGCAGAAGGGGCCTTCGACGTCTCTCAGGGATAAAGGGTGAGCCAAAGCGAATGTAGTGTTTGGGGGTGGTGCAAATTAATGGGGAATGGATAAGACCAGGTAACATGTTCAGGGTTGTTGCCAGTACAGTTGGATCCGTGGTGATACGTAAAGGGCACTCAACAGGGCATTCTTGCTTCTCTGCTTTGTCATTCAACCATTCTGTAACTAGATACTAAGGCAGAAAAGAGATCATTAGTTGGTGCTGCAGATGTAAAAGCCAGAGGCAGCAGCGTAGCTCACAAAGAAAAACCTCAGCTAGAAACTAGGACAGAGGTAGATATAGCAGCTGCAGAGAGTATGAACTGGGCATTCAGAATGCAAGGATATCTTCCTTCACCCTCTCCATGATCATTAAGGGAGGAATAATTCCAGTTAGCAATTTAAGTTCTGCCTAAAAGTTAAGGGAACAAAAGAGAAGTAGTAGGATGGTTTTAGCTTGGAAGCCTCAAAGCTCTTTATCTACAACTTTTCAATCTAGTAATACTTAGGTGATTTGTTTTTTTTCTGGAGATTACAGGTCCTCTCAAGGTACTAAGAGATAGCCCTTGCCGGACTAGACTTATGAAGATGTATTTGTGACTTACCTTTTTGGTTTTGGGGTATTTAGGTGCAGCACGGTTGACATGGGATCCAGTAACTGATACTACAGTTGGGTCAGACCCCATTAATAGCCTGTTTTCTCCTGAACTGTCTATATTTCCAGCTTCAGTAGGAGTTACAGAGCTGTTATTTCCTCCCTCTTCCAAGGCAGCTTGTGACAACTCCGCCTGTTGTGCAATGGCCTGCTTCTGACGCTTTAGTCTTTGGGCTGAACTGGTCCGGTACCGAGAAATTCGACTCTTCGGTCGGGGCCTAGAAGGCTTTGCTGGAGGTGGCTTGGGGACTGGTTTTTCTGCAGCAACATCCTATAATAGCAGAGTGAAATGCTTACCAGAAATTTCTTATCAGCAAACATTCTATCCAGTTTTCTATTCACTTTATGCATTCTGAATATTTAGTATTTAGAAACACTAATCTCAAATGTAATCCTTAAAAAACTTACACAATCAGCCAAAGAGCCTGTAGGTAGATGCCTATTTCTTTACTAATAAGTATTTATAAAATAGGTCAAAAGTCAGCTAAAAATAGCTACCTAATTTTAGGGTTCTTAGCAGGGGAGGTAATTCTTTCCTTTGTTTCTTTCCCAGGTACTGAGGTTTTGCTTAAGGCTTAGAATTCACGGTCAGGGTAGGGAAAGAAAAAATGAATTTATTCTGAGAATCCTATGAAAGGTCAGGTGCCTAATTATGCTATATGGAAGAGCCAAAAGAGATATGAAATGATTTTTATGAACTCACCACAAACAGTATTATCTGGCAGAAACAGTATGAAGTTACATTCTAGTCTAAAAGTGTCTCATCATTCAAATTCTGTCTCCCTGAATCCCACAAAGCAGCTGATGAAAATGGCCTTATTTACTGCAATATGAGGTGAAGCTGAAAATGCTGATTTTCACTATTCCAAAAGACAGATAACTGACATTAACAAAAGCAAGGATGTCTAAGGCCTGGAGTCTTTCCATCTCTTACCCCTGCTTGGGAAGACCTCCGGGTGTTCACTCCAACACTCTGTGGGGTGCTTGGGATGGCCATGTTTGAAGCAGGGTTGCTAACTTCGGGTTCAGGGGCTTCAGTTTTTGCCTCTTCTCCCACAGGGACCTCTGAAGTAGTGGTAGTAATCTCTATGTCAGAGCTGTTTTGTTCCAAGGGCTGATGATCCCGCCGCTTCTTTCTTTTCTCTAAGTTTTCAAAAGCATGCATGATGGCTTCGACCTTCCTATCTTCCCGGGTCTAGAAATAAATAGCATTAGCATAGAAGGAAGCCTCAACATGAGGTGGGGATATTTTTTCAGAAACGTTATTAATGGAAATTCATAGACATTTAAAGACATTTGCCAGTAAAATGACACATATGTATCTTAGAGAACAGAAGTAAAAACTAAAAATAAAACATTTCTTTTTTAAAAAAAGATTTATTTATTTTAGAGTGAGCAAGAGAGCACATGCTCAAGTGGGGTAGGGCCAGGAGAGAGAGAAAATCCCAAGCAGACTTCTCACTGAGCACAGAGCCTAATGAGGGGCTCAATTTCTTGACCCTGAGCCATGACCTAAGCGAAACCAAGAGTCAGAAGCTTAACCGACTGAGCTACCCAGGTGCCCCCAAAACATTTCTTTTTAAATGTTGGAAAGAGCTGTAGAAAAAGGCAAGGTCAAATCTAAACTTTTCAAAATAGTCAATTACTTTGAAACTTTTTAATATAAAAGAAAAATAGCCATCAAAACCAATTTTTCTCTTGATTTTCAGAATTCAAAAGCAACGAAGCAGATCTTTCACTTTTTAGGACCAGAACTAAACATGTCTGGCTTCAACAAGAGAGTAGGATTTCTGAATCCATGTGACCAAAAGTTTTATTTTTATGTCAAAACTCACACAATTCCAGAAAAAGGAGCCCCAACACATGTGTCTTGTTCCAACAAGGCAGTTCTTTGGAAACTAGATTGTTAGTAAGAAACCTCTTAAGACTATCATTAGATAATAGTCACTAGATAACTTCTGTGTGTGTGTGTGTGTGTGTATGTGTGATAAAAATAAATCATAATGAAATCTCCTTTATTAAAAAAAGCCCCGATTGTCATCTGCAGGTGACGGTTTAATATCTTGTTAAAGAATGAGATGATACAAACTCAGAAGAGAAGGGGTTCACAAGCCAAAGGTAGCAGGAACCAAAGGATGTTAGAAGGTACCCACCCTTCTGCTATAAGCTGGGTTCTCCTGGTCATCTGTAACCTCTTCTTTCTCTTCTTCTGCTTTTTCTTCTGGATTGTCTATTTCCTTTAAAACAGAGGCGATATTCAGCTGTACTCTTAGGCTCTAAGAAAAAGTGGTCTTTTTTTTTCTGGTAGCTAAAACTCTCTAGAAACAACTTCTAATGCTTTATTATAGTGTTATTCATGTGAGTAAATGCAGATGATAAGCCCCATTCTCTGAACTGAAACATGGAAAGCAGCTGAAAGGATGTTCTTGACGTTATTAAGAGAGAGTAAGACAATGAATAATGGCACGCACACCTTGACGTGAAGAGCGTTAAAGGTTATTATAGACTCCCTACATATAACAACATGTGGCAACCACGGATCCTCTTTATTTGCAGAGAATCAATACCATAGCAACATTCTCTGACCAGGGGAAGATTACCTCATGGTCACTGGACACAGCTGCTTTCTCAGGAACTTGTTCTGGTTGCTGATTGTTATCCTCTTCTGGAGCCTCATTCTGCTGCTCCATCTCTAGCTCTTTCCGTCGTGCTTTCCTACGTCTTGTCTCTGCTCCGATGGTGGGTAAGCTTGGAGGAGGTGGGAGTGGTGATTCTGCAGCATTGGGATTCCTTTTCTGTATAGGGCAATTCCGGTTCCCCTTGTGACACGCACAGTCCACTTTATAATTACTGCTCCAAAGAAAAAACCGAAAGTGCCGGTCTCAGTAGCCTTGCAAAATTAGTCATACTGTCCATTCATTCCTTGGAGTAACAGTATAGTGATTTCCTCTAGTATATCTTTGAATAAGTTACACAGACACATTAGAGTTCTGTGAATACTTTTCAATAGTCAGTGTTTTCCTATATAACCCTAACTCTTCCCCTACATATGGTCAGTGGAAAAAAGGAAACCTTCACTAAATTCAGTTCTCCCTTAATGTCTTTATGCTATTTAGTGGGCAGTGGATCAATAATAGGGGCTGAAAAGGCGATACTTCCCTTGCATCTACCTTTACCACATCCTCACTTTTGAACTACTGATTCCCTACTTATTCCTAATACCTATTCTTCTCCTACCTGTGCTGAACATCAATTTACCAAATGACCTTTTTGGCCTAAAAGGACCAAGGGAGAAAAAGCATCCATTTTACAAAATCCATCACATATTTATCTATGACTTGCCAGCTCTGCTTTGTCTGCCTTGTCACACTCAGATAGATTACATGGTTTGAATGGATGGGGTGAATTTTATTTTTTTATTTTTTTAAAGATTTTATTTATTTATTTGAGAGAGAGAGCACATGAGAGGGGGGAGGGTCAGAGGGAGAAGCAGACTCCC